AGGCCTTCTCTGTGGCAGCCCCGAAGCTTGGAGCTCCCTCCCCCAAGACCTTCCGTGAGTCTGAGTCTCACCCTGCTCCAGTCCTCTCATCAAAACCCACCTCTTCAACCTGCTTATTTCCATTAAACCCCCCTCCCTCTTGAACCAACATTCCTCTCTGACTGCTTTTCTGTTTTTTTGTTTTTGTTTGTTATTATTTGGTTATTTGCTGTATCGTTTCATCTGGTCTTATAAGATCTTTCCACGGACAGCTTTGTTTGTCTTAGTTCATGGAGAAAAAGTTGATACGTTTTTTCCGGAACTTAAATGTTACAGTGTGCTTGTAACAAACATTAATGTGTATTTATTGTGTTTTTCAGGGTGACAGCCGAGCTCCGGGGCTGAAGTTGGTTGTGGAGACGCTCCATTCACCTCGCTCAGACCCATCGGGAACATTGTCCTCATCTGCTGCGCCCTTCTTCATTGTCTTTGCATCTTGGGAGGCAGGTATTGTGCAATCCCTTTCAGATAACACAAACAAAACGGGTGCTGTGGTTTGAACCTTTTTAAGGCGAAAAAACCGAACTAGCGTCAAGGGTTCACTCAAAAAAGATCTTTGAGCAATCAAATTTATGAACTTACAACATTTTGTTCAGCGGGATCATTGTATGACAGTTAAAGCACATGGCAATTGGCAGAAGGAAATAGCTAACGGTAATGCTATAAACAGACAACATCACGAGTGAACATCGCAAAGCTAATGTGGGCTAATGTTTGTAAAGTGATGGTCTTTAGCTGTGGTTATTAGCACTTTGGCACCGTCTTTGCCATTTTTAGAAACTTAAACATCTGACATTCATGATTGGGTTTTTACATGACATATTTTTAAAGAACTAAAACAAATGGTACAAATCATTATAAAGTTGTATTAAACCAGGGTTGCCAACTTTGGTTACCTGGCTGGAAGTGAATTTTGATATCATGGGGTTTGATTAACACATAATGCGCACTAAATGACTGCTATCAGTGTCAAGTAGCGGGACCTTCAGCATATATAGGATATTTAATAAAAACGGACAATTCAAATCAAAGCAATCTGATTGGTTCTTAGCATGAATACTGAGCGTATACACGGGTAGAATTGTAGCTACTTTTCACAACAAGTCAGTATCCCTCCGCGTCTGAGAAAAACAGTATACAGTTGGGTCTGAAAAGCAAACTGCCTGCTTCGCGTCGGCCGAACCACGCCCCTTAGCTGTGATATAATGAAGCATATACCACGGCCTGGTCGTGAGCTTATTGCTTAATAAATACCTAAAGAATATCACAATATTGGAAACAGACTATAAAGGGCACAAAGTTTCATTCCACTAATGAAAGTCAACACATGTTTCTACTGTTTTATTGTGTGCTGTCCGCGATAAGCAATTAAATTGAACTTATCTTACATTAAATAAAAATGAACTCGACTAAATGTCCATTTTAACAATGAGGATGTGACTAGCAGTCTTGAAAGGATTGACTTAATTATTATTATCATTATGTCAGTGGGTCTAAAATGGTCATACAACGGTGCGCGACAATATTAATCGTTTAACGCAATAATTTACGGGGAAATTATCGTGAGAGGCCTATACATGAAACACACACACACAAACAAATCTACAGACCTACTCCAAACTGCCAGATATATTAATTAACACACTCTCACTCTCATATACTCTTTGACTCTATTCTACTGGATCTTAGATCTGCGCATGCGCAATACGGGTCGGATTGACCACGCGGCTCCCACTGCTCTGCTGTCTGTTAACGTTGTTAAGAGTGGTGGGGGCGGGGAGGGAGCGGATCGACAGCTTGAGCTTGAGCAGCTGTCAACTCAACATTGTAAATAACAAACCAAAAACGATCAACGGTTCATCTTGTTCTTAGCGTGAGAATAGTTTGGGCAGCGTGAGATTGAGAGTGAAAGCGTGTGTCATACGCCAGATGCGGGAGAGTTGGCAACCTTGATTAAACACTGACCATTCAAAAAAACCTCCTTGACTTTGAGACGAGAGAACCAGGAAGTGCTAAAATGCTAACACATTTCGGAGTTTAAAACGAATTCCTGCAACGCTATAGTTGACAAAACAGACATGTAAGCTAGGTTGAAATCCAAAGCCTACACTGCATAATGCTTTGTCATTTGCTTTTGCTAAGCTCGAGGACAAAATACATTTAGCCTCTTTAGCTTAAATGTCAGTGTCGTTGAGCAGCTGAATATGTGATTGTGGCTCGGGGGGGGAATGGAAGTGTCTTGAATTTACAATGGGTAATTGTTCCTTAAGAGTGTGAGTTTTGAAAGAATGACCATTAGGTTAGGGACAACATGACCCCCAGGCTAGCTTTTAGCCGCGCACTAACGTCTGATAAGAGTGTGCTTAATGAAACGTCCTTTTATTACTGCCATTAATAGTTGGACGTTTAAGAAGCTGTGAGCTCCGGTGTAATTGAGATAATGTTTGAATGGCAGCCAAGTCGCCTTACAGATTTCTCTTTCTCTCTCTGTCTCTCTAGCTGTTCAAAGGCAAGTTCTACCACTGTGAAGGTCTGGACACAAAGAATGTCACCAACAAGTCCGACTGTCTGCAGGCCAACTACCGCTGGATCAGAAGGAAGTACAACTTTGACAACCTGGTTCAGGTACAGATTAATGGACTGAGTGTGAGAGGAAGAGAGAGGGGAGGATAGGGAGGTTGCACCAAAAATATAAACTTGGTCATTCCAGAATTGGAGGACATTTCATGTCCCCCATATAAAAAATCTAATAATCCATGCCCAAAATGCTAAAACATGCACTTGTTGTGTTAAACATACTTGTCTTGAGACAAAATGTGTATAAAATTGTAGAAAAAGTGGTTTCAAAATATTATTTAAATTATCAAATAGCTCTCGAACATCCCCTAAAATGGCATTTTTCTCTTGTCCCCGCTTCTTGGTGACCAACTTGCATGTCAAATATAACATTTAAAATAGGGATTTTATTTACTTTTTTTGGTATTATTCTATTGATATATGTCTCTTGTAATGGTAAAATCTATTTGTTAAATCATAAACATATTTTAAATAACAATAATTTTGCACAGAAGGTGTGTCCCTCAACATGCGTTCAACCCTGTTACCCAAACCTTTTTAGATTGGCACAGGAAGTGAAAAAACTGTAAGTCAGATGACACAGTGGAAGTGACATCAGCAAGCCATGTGCTAGTGCCATGGGTAGACCAAAACTAAGTCCTCTCTTTTATTTTTCATATTTTTACAATCTTTTCAGTCGTAAAAGAGTGTGGCACTCTGACCCACTCAACCCTGTTACTGATATTACCAGAATAAAGCATATTAATTTCAAAGTTATCTTTCTTGCAATTGATATCCAAGTTTGTCATTGCCTTGGAAAGTAGCATTACATGCTACATCTAGCAATAATTCCTGAGGTTAAAGGCTCAAATTAGCATTGATTTTCAACCCTGTTACTTTCAACCCTGTTACTATAATTAGAGTAACAGGGGTAATTCTTCATTGGAAAATATACATTTGATGCCAACCTGGGCAAATCACTTTTTTTGATGGTTTATTATCTGTTTTTCCTAAATACATAAATATGACATACCTCAGTCAGTCAGAGTTATAATTATTTATGAGTGTCTTCCTGAACGTGTTTCATTAAAACGCTAAATATATATTTACTGTGAGGGTGTTGGTTATAGAGGGTTACGTGAGTCGTTATAAATAAACAACATATTTTACATTTTTTTTTAACCTGTAGAAATTTCCGACGATAAATAATTGAGTTTCTGCCGAGACTTAATTATTAGTGTTATACAAGAAAGAAATGATGACCCCTACCTTTAATCTTTTTACATGGTAGTAAAAGAGTAACGATCATATCGGTGTATTTCTATAGCTTGTGGACATTTTACGTGGTCTTATGTCCTATCAGTTAAAAAAAAGCACCCCCGCCTAGGGGCTTTTGGGGGCATTTTTACAGGGGGGGTGTAAGGTCCTACTGAACAGATATTGTGTAATAGGATTATAATAAAGTTTATATGTAATATAAATAATGTACATATACCGTCAGGTTAATGGTCTTACCTTCTGTTTAAATGCTGCGTTAGTAAAACTTCTTTCCTTGGAAAAGTAAAATA